TTTCTTGCCATGAATCCTATCCAAATACTTCTTTTCCTTTTTTTTTTTTTTCTGCTTCCCCCTCTCAAATAAAATTAAAAAAAAAAAATCTGGCTTGCTGGCTTTTGTGGGAGATGTGGTTAAGCATAACAAATACAGTGCATGTGGGAGGTGGGAGAAAGGCAAAGGAATTCATGGTAGCTCTTCAGGACTGCTCCATCTGTGACCCCTTTCCCTCTGCTGTCATTTCACCCTGGCAACTGAGAGGGTCTACTGCTTTTAATTTTTTTCAGGAGCTTTTCTTCGATTCATTTGCTCCTAAACTGTGTTTTAGGACAGAGTACTCTTTATGATAGTCATACCATTTGTTACTTTTTTTTTTTTAAAAGCTTGCTAACTTATAATACAGGAGTTAATTGATAAACAAAAATAATGTACTTTCTGTGAATATACTATTAGATAACAATATCCTGCTGTTTGGGGTGGGTTCAGGTCTTTTTTGGTTTTGTGTGTGGTAGAGGTTTTTTTTCATTTGTTTGGGTTTTGGGTTTGTTTTTTTTTTTTTTTAATAGTGTCTTGTTTGCTGATATTACCTAAGAATCCTTTGGATCAGATCCTACCTACAAATACCTTTGGACTTGATGATCCTAGAGGACCTTTCCAACCATAGTGATTCTGTGAATCTCTGGATCTTGAGTTCCACTTCCCTAAGAAGTCTCTTCCAGCAGAGTTTGCTGCTTTTCACCACGTTGCCTTGGTTCTGAGTACAGCCGGGTCTCACACCACTTGCAATACACAAGGAGATCGCTTCTGTCTTGTCTAGCTGTGTGTGCATCGTGTAGTATTTCTTCTGACCAGGGTTTGAACTGCAGCAGACAGAAGTCTTTCTGTTGTGACTCCTCAGCCATTACCCTGTTTCTTTACTACCTTCCTCTGAAACTCCTCAGGTTGCCTATGATACACCTTGGGTGTTTGCATTGCATAAAACTTGTTTCTCCTGCAAATGATTGCTGTCACTGGTCACAGAGAGCTGGGGTTTGTACTGTGTGTTTGTGCTTACCTGATCTCTGGACCACTGGTGCATCCTCTCCAGTTCAGCTGTGTCATTCCTGTGGTGTTGTTTTGACCACTGCTGTGGCCCTCGTGGTGCCAGTGCTGTTACTTGTGCTTTGCTCTCTCCTGGAACTTTCCTTTCTTGAGCAACAGCTTTTCCTCTTCTAGTTTCAGCTTTCTTCACTCCAACTTCTGCTTCACCAGTGCAACCAGTCTGAATAGGGTCTGTTTGCTTTGCATATGCTCCTTGCATCCTCATCTTCACTTTGCTTAGCGATATATGAGTAATTCTTGCTCTTCAATGTTTATGAGAATTTGTATATCAACATCTCTTTCCTGGTTAGTGGTTTTTTGTTGTGTGTTTTTTTCTGTTTTTGTTTGTTTGACTTTTGTTGGTTTTTTGTTTGTTTGTTTGTTTTGCTTTGGTTTTTTTTTTTTTTTTCATGGTCTTACAAAATTAAATCATCCTTGTGTAGTGACTATACAGGATTCCCATGTGCATTCCAGTTTGCATACAGCAGCTTCAGCTGTGCAGTGTAGGGTTTTCAAGGGGGTCTGTTACTGTTGTTGGGTAAGAGGACTGAAATTTGAGTGTGAACTTGTTTTGGAGACTGCTTGCCATTTCTGTGCTATCCACCACATGCCGTGCAATTTGCACATGCTGTCTTTTGGAACAAAGTGCTAAGTAGTGGGAATATCACTGGATTACAGGTTTTATTGTGTTCCAGCATGCTGTAATGAAGATAGATACACCTGGGTTAGCAACAGTTCCTTGGATGTGTGTGTCTTGGGATAGATTGATTATTAAAGATGCCAACTTGATCTCCTGAAGTTTTGTAAGCTGTGCTTATTTCTGTGATGCATCATCCTTTTTTCTTACTGAATTTAGCTGCCTTTTTTTTTTTTTTTTTTTCCTCTTTCCTCTTTTCTTTGCTTAAACGTTCTGTGATTTAGCATGAGTCATTCTGTCTGTGTGGGAAAGGGCTGGTTTATTACAGGGTCCATTCTGGAGTGGGGAGGGGAAAGGGTGGAATGTATTTGTGTTTTCTATGTGTTTGTTGTGGAAATGCATAAAACTTTCTTTTTTTTTTTTTTTCTTCTCTTTCTTTCCTCTCTTCATCATCTCATCTGTGTGGGTGAATGTTCCTGCAAACCCTTGGGGAACCTGTAGAGACTTTTGGTATGCTCATTCCTTCATTAGTGCCCAAAGTCACAGATGCCAGGAATACTTTAAAGACTAGAAAAGCAAACAAGAGTCGCAATGTAAGGTGGCTAAAAATGTGCACTTGAGAAAAACCTCTAAGTCATCATCTAACAAACCTATTTGTTTGCATCATCACAATAATGCCAATGGTCACTACTGGCCAGTTGGTGTAAATTTTGGTTCTGTGCTTGAAATGTAGACATATGTTCTCCTGTAGCAAGACCCAATGTTTTGTGATTGAGATATACTTTTGAAAAGTATCTATCCTGCTTTAAATTCCAAGTCCTATTTTCAGAAGTGACTGAAGTGTATATACTCTAGATGCCTAAATTCTGTTTGAAATCAGCTGCTGAATTGTCTTGTGGTGCAGAAGCCCAGGTGACCTGTGAAAATGAGAACAAGGCACAATTGGTCCTACTTTCTCATTAGGCAGAGAATGTAATTCAAATACAAAGCACCACAGAATATTAAAACACTTTTAAAAGATAGTGATTTTAAGATAAATGAGTTCCTTTAGCATTTATTTTGAAAAGATGTGTTCAGTGCTCCTTTCCAGGAAAAAGAGAGCAAAAGTAAAGTAGAATAAGGTGGAAGTTTTGCTGAAGGAGATCTTGTGGCTTATTGATATTCCAGAAATCGAGATTTTTTTTTTATAAACAGCATTCTTTATTCCATAAGTAGAACAGAGACAAGATGACTAAATGTAAATTATTTTTTTAAAATACTGAGTACTTATAGTTTAGTGCAGAGTATGTGGAAATATAAAATATTTCTTTATATGAACAACTGAGATATCATAAGGGATATTTAAGACATATTCTAATAAAGGAAACCAAATTAATGTTTTGGTTGTGCTATATAGTGTTAAAGTTAACTTTAATTTCTGAGCTACAGCCACTTAAGTTTGAAGGCTTAGCATTTTGATAATCTTAATGATCATCTTAGTTTTTTTCATTAAGAGAAAATAATGTTCATGCTATTTTGACATAAATTGATGTGTTAAAAAAATTTTCAGTAGTCATCACTTTTGTCAAGTCATCTCTGTTCTCCTAATGGAAGGAGGATTATCAGGCATGAATTTGGACATTGTTAGCTTCCCTTTTTTGTGTTGAGAAAGTATTTCATGCCACAGGAAATCCTGTCCTTTTCTCCAAGTAGGATCATTAAAAATAATTACATAAGTAACTGCCATAATTCTAAAAGCAATAGAAATATTTTTTCCACATGGGATAAATATGTCAAACATTTTTACATATTATCTACTAAAATATTTTTAACTCTGTGAGTTTTAATACCAATTTAAAATAGTTCCTTCAATAGAAACTCTTTTTCTTACTCTATTTAACCATAAGGTTAAGGTAATAAATATGTTCCTCCTCTTTACTATTGCTTGTTTCTCTTAAAATAGAATTACTGGGTGGATATCATGCTTCAAACATTTTTCTAAACTTGAGGTCTGCCAGAACTTTGGACAATTTTTATGACATTTCCATTTAATTTGCTGCTCCATTAGAGCCAGTGATAGTAGGAGCCAGAAACCTCCCTGGAGTATTTTGTGGTAGTTGAGTCCCATAGGACACTTGAGAGGAGGAAAAAATGTAAAACAAAAGAATTCACAACCAGCCTTCCCCAGGGCTGCTATTGTTTGTACTGCTGCTGTAAGCATACTGGAAATAGAGAATTTTTGAAAAGTTCTCAGTGTAGAGACTAGTATTCTCTGAAAAGAAAATTACAGAAAACTTCTGATTCATCAGATGATTGTTTGCAGCCCCTTATAAACCTAACTTGTTATGACCATCAGAAGGTAAAATACAGTTGCTAAAAAATATGTTCTAGATATTGACTGGAATCATCTTGGCACGTTACTGATTAATTGTAAAAATTGCTTGTGGCAGAACGTTACATTACAGAAAATTCAGTTATTAAGATGACATTAGGTTAAATGAATTGGAGAACACAAAACAGTGTGCTGCTGTTCTTGACTCTGTGACTTTCAGAACCACAGCAATGTGTGCAACACCTCACCTTTATTGACTGCCTTATGTAATCTGCATTGATCTGGCTGATAATTGTATTAAAAAAAAAAAGAGAACAGCTGGAAGATGATCTGAACAAAATATGTTGGTGCACATTTTAAACAGTCATCCAGAATTTTGCTATTCAACATTCCTTCAATTTCAGTGGAAAATCAGTGTTAAAAATACATGTTCTCTGACCGTGGGCATGCCTAACGTGCAGTGTTGTTGTAGCCCTGTGCTTTGTCTTTGCTTGCAGTAACGCTGTCCATTTGGTCCTTGAGCTTGCAAACAGCCTTTAAATGAAGGTGATGAGGGGAAAAAGCAATGAGATTGACTTTACGCTCAATCAACTGAAAGAAAATGTAACTTAACAGAAGTAGCTAAAAAGTCTGTTTGTGGAATGGCTCTTAATAAATGTCAGGTGTTTGTGGTTTTTTCCCCATGGAATTAAGTACATTTTACATCACCTTAAAGCCTGCTTGTGCCTACAGTATTGTGAGTTATTAGAGCTGGTGTAGTTTTAAGTAATCTGTGTAGAATGATGTAGTTACTCCAGAAAACTTAAGAGATCACCTGGAGATACTGTAGAAGCTCTAGAGGCATTGGTGCTTGCTTTGATACATGGTGAAAATAGCATATTGCAATTTGAAGAAAGAATTTGATAATGAAGTTTGTTAACAAAGCATCTCCATCACACCTATGATGAATTACATTATTTAAAATGTACTTTTTTTGTGTGTTTTCAGTGAAAGAGTTCCTAGCCAAAGCCAAAGAAGACTTTTTAAGAAAATGGGAAAGCCCCCCTCAGGTATCAGTTGTTTAAGCATTCAATAACATTCTTTAGTGAATTTTTTAATAATGTTATCAGCATGTTATCAGTCTGTAATGAGCAATGCTGAAATTAGAAATATGTTTAATGCAGTTTTTAAAGGAGTTTCCATTTTTAATGTAAGTTTTGTCATTAAAGTTCACCAGCAAAGACTCTCGGGTCTTCTCCAGATTCGAACGGACAAAATGCTCATACTGAACAACAGTTTCTCTTACTGAGAATTATGTACACCATCCACATGACAAGACCCAAAATCTATTGGTGCATTTCATCTGGCTTTTTATAACAATAAGCGTTGTCACAGCTGTAATTTCCCCTGTTAATAATTTCCACCATGAGATTAAGGGGAATTAATTGTAGTAAATCTCTACTGCGTAGGGTTTGGGGGAAGGTTAAGGAGTTAGAGAGAAAGATTCTAAAAGTTGAACTTCCTGAAAACTTGGATTTCTGGGGAAGGGTCATTTTTGGTTTTAAAGTAGCATTTGAAATGCTTTGGTAATGAATATCTGAGAAAATTTACTCAGTGATACTGTCTGCAAACAACTCTCATGTGGAACTGTCTCTAGAGCTTGAAATTTTTTGCATGTTCTAATATTCCTGTCTGTGAAGCATGAGGTGGTTATTTTAGCTGCATGTTAAATTCATGATCTGTTTACTGCTAAACGTTTCTTGCTAAGCATGTGTCATCTGTATGGACAAATTAAAGAAGTGTTGATACAACTCAGTTAAGTCTTTTTCTGTTTTAATGAGTGCAATGTAAAATCTTATTAAAATCTGACAGGCATGAAATTATAACAACAGTATACTTTGCTATAGTTGTCTTTGATAAATGTAATTTTTCTCAATATTTTTCCATAAATTAATTCAATTCATACCATTAAAATTGTCTTTGGGTGTTAGATTGTAAATAATAATGTATCCTTGTACATGTAGAATACCGCTGGCCTAGATGATTTTGAGAGGCAAAAAACCCTTGGAACAGGATCATTTGGGAGAGTTATGATGGTGAAACATAAATCCACAGAACAGTATTATGCTATGAAGATACTGGACAAACAGAAGGTGAGTATTTTACAGTGTTTTTTGTGGTACAAAGATTTGGTAACTGGTGTAAACTGTGTTCCTCTTACTGTGCTTTTGCTCCTCACACTTGGATACTGGTGGTAATTTAATGCTCAACAGAGTCAGCTTTTGGGTTTGTGTAGAATTCTTACGATGGCCAGTAACATCAATGGCTGGCTAAAGAGGCTCTAAGTAGTGTCCGAGGCATTAATAAAATGTCAGTTAAATTCTTTGCTTAGGTTTTGTGAGGTGGCCTATATATTTGGCAAAAACAAAATGTAGTGTTGTAGTTTAAATAAAAAGTACGTTTTTGCAGGGTAGCTAAAAATTCTGGAGGACTCTTTGGATTGGAAATACTCAAAATCTTCATTTGTGAGCCATAATTTAATTGTTTACACAAATAATTTCTTTTCCATTCTTGATCGCATGAGGTATTTCTGAAATATTTAATAAATGTATAACTACATAATAATCATGTTACATCTGTAGTAACAACTGCATAGCTAGAACAGCAGTCTCTCAGAACAGCTCTCACACAATAGACATTTTCTGTGTTGAAAACTTCAGTGCTGTAGTCTGAATCTGCATTGTAACTCCAGCCTGACTTTTTAAACAGCTTCTTGCTCTTAGATTAAGTAAGCAGTGTCATTTTATCAAGTTCAAATGTTGAATAAAACAGAATCCCAGAATGCTAAGAAGTATTTTAAAGGAATTTATCGATACCGTTAGTGTTTAATGGTTTTGGCAAGATTTTCAGAAGTACATTATTTAGATTAGTAGACTCAAAGGTCCTCAATATAAGAACTCTTCTTACTTTATAAGGCGCTGTACATAACTGCTCCTGTATAACAAAAATCTTGCTAAGAAAATGTTGATCTGGCAAAAAGAACTTAACAATCAGCAGCTGACAAAGTGAAAGTCAGCGTTGCCTCAGTGTGGACTCTTGCACTTAAGCATTGTTACACTCGTAAGTAATTTTATATAATGGAACTATGGCAGTGACATAATCAAATAATTTTCCCTGAGTTTCCAGTCTTTCCAGTATTCTTTACATGTGATTTGGGGTGTTGGACCTTTGATAATGTGTCATTTAATTAAAGACTGCTTTGTAATGGTCAGACAAAAAGAAACTAAAGTAAACTTACCTTTTAGTTATAATTCTGGCATTATTTTTTTTAGTGGGAACAGCTCAGGTTTTTTACAATTTAGTGTCCTTTTATAACAATATTTTCTTTTAGATTAAAAATGAAAAAGACATTCCAACATAGTGCAATTGCAAGACAGTCCAGACCATTACCACCCATGTGGCAGTTTACCTCAGCACTGTATGGCCAGCAGCCATCCTTTGTGGACCTTTGCTGTAACAGGGCGTGATGAGTGTTCCACTGCTGCACGGAGAGACCATCAACAAATTTCAGATTTTCAACTCTTTTTTTCTTTGAACCCTTTTTCATTAATGACTGAGTCCTTGTCACGGGAGCAGTTCAGGAAATTACATCTTCCTTGAGGAAGCTGCCACAAAAATAGTTTGAGGATTTAAAAAAAAATAAAAGTTAATTCAACTCATTGCTACCTCTCAGTCTAAAATAAATTGGAAAGCTATAGCTTATAAAATTAACTGGTAAAAGCAAAAATTCACATTTTTAATGATTGCAGTGGACTTGCAATAAAAGATTCACAGGATTAAAAATGTTTGTATCCAGGCATCAGTATTCTATTAATAAATTAGGGTTTTTTCTATAATAAAAAGTCTTTGTGTTCCTTCATGGAATACATACTTTTTCAACTTGATGTATATGTTTATATATTTATGTAATATTTTAGAAACGTATTAGTGTTACATTGGTAGCTTATATTAATTGAAAAAATAGGAGGTGGTTTAGGGAGAACACATTTCTGTCACTTCATATATTGTAGAAAACTTACAGATGTCTGAAATTAGACAGTGTGTGGGCTGCCTATAATTTTTCATTACATTTTACTTGAAACAAGAGAAAGCATATTGTGTGTCCCTTGTTTCATCGGGATATGAAAAAAAGAAAAAAGGTATTAGATGTTGTTGTCAGTAGTTTGGGGGTGTTTAAGAAGGCTATAACATACCATTGCTAAGCTATTTTCATTATATAATTGGTTTTGGAAAGAAAATATTGTTAACAAAAGCTCAGACTCAAACAAGCTGTTGGAGAATTTGCCATTACCACCTACCGTTTGATCTACAGGAAACTATTTTTGGACATGCCCTCAGCTCGAGTTTAACTGTAAGCAAAATCGTGTTAATCTGAGGCTCCACTCTGATATTATAAAGTGTTAACCAGCAGCTTCAGCCTGTGGGGTTGCTGCCATCACCCTCTAGTATCTAACCAGCAGAAGATGCAGGAAAGGGTGGGAAAATCTTGTCTTAACATTGCAGCTAAACACTTGATAATATCAAACTAAAACCTTAGCTTGCTTGCTTTGATTGCCAAGATAATTCCAGTATGGCTTTTCAGGAGTGGAGGTGACACTTCCACAAATGAGCTGATTTGAGCAAAAACTTCTATTTCGTCCCTAAAGATCTGTGATTCCAAAGAGATTTGATATTTTTAACTTGCTTTTTTTTTTTTTTTTGTATGACATTAAAACTATAAGTGCTACCATTTGCATCTAAAAATTAAAGAGTTTCAGTCAGTGTCCTTGTTTTGATCACTCTTGCACATTTCCTCTGGGGGAAAAAAGTAACTTTACTTAGAAATCATGCCATTCTCAAGATCAGCTATAGATCAATTGTGCAACAGAGTTTAAGTGAAATGGAAGGAATAATTATGCAATATTGGGGTTTAACACAAGGAAACCAGTTGTTAACTCCTGAGGGAGAGCAAGGCCCAGAAATCTGCCACTTGCTGCCTTGTTGGCAGCTTAACATTATAGTAGATTCCAAAAAAAAAAGGTAGCATTTAATTTTGTAAATACTTTTGCTAAGCAATTGGCTAAATAGGAAAGCAAAACTCATGGAAAGATCTGGCAGAAATAACTGTTGTTTATAAGAATGGAAATCTTGAATTTGTATTCCCCTTAGTCTTCTCACTAATGTTTGAGCTATATAAAATAAATCGGTCTACTGCTGCTTACAGAAAACAAAATGCATAATTAAATGTCTGACACAATTTCTTGCCTTTCCTAGCAAGGGATCTAAAGATCAAATGGGTTTTATTGAGCTGTTATCTTGCTGCAGAAGTATCTCCATTGCAAACACAAGCAATTCTTACAAAAACATAAGATGTTTTTCCTTACTGATTCCTATGCTTAGCATGTAATAAGAAACACTATTTCTTTAGTTACCTGCAAACCATATTTCATTAGTATTACTCTTTAAAATGTCATTAGACTTTTAAATCCTTTCTCAGCACTGTTATTGCACTAGTAATCCATAAGGTTTTTTCATTACCTGCAAAATTACAAGCTTGCTTTCAGGTAATTGTTTTACACTGAAAAATTTATCAATGACTATAAACTGTCATACTTTAACTGAAGATTGTTTTTTTCTTCCCTAGGTCGTGAAACTGAAGCAAATAGAACACACACTGAATGAGAAGAGAATATTACAAGCGGTGAACTTTCCTTTCCTTGTAAAACTGGAGTATTCTTTTAAGGTAATCATTATTTTGAAAGTAGTTGTTTAGGCTTCAGGGAAGTGTGTGCTCAAACTTCAGATATTAAAACATCTAAATTTTACAGTACAGTAGTTTAAGTAGTGTTGTTTTCAAAGACCCTTCACTTGGCACTGTTGTCAGGTCTTGAGAAGGAGTTACTGCACTTGTGTGCCCACTTGCACACACCCGAATTCACCGAGTGGTGACTGAAAAGATATTGCCAAATAAATAAAAATGAAAATAAATTAAACTCTTATACAATTCCCTCATTTTGGGGGAAAAATAGTTTTGTACAGCAGGAAGCTTTTAGGCCTCATTGTATCTTTAATAGAAACCAAAGGATGTAATTCTGTACTAATATGAGACAGGTCTTAATGACAATCTTAGCCATGAAGGAAAGAACTTTGAGGTTAGCTTCTAATTTCATGTCTGTATGTGTTAGTCTGCAAAGAAATTGTGTAGTTTCCTAATTTATAGAGTGACATGTGTCCTATATCTATATTTTTTTTTTTTTTTCTTCCCAAAATACCATTTAAAATTAACAAACACATTCTACCTTAACCTTTACAGTTTTGAGGTTCAGGGCTGGGGCTGTGGGAGATGAGAATATCTCAGGCTGTCAATTCTGAAATTTAAGAGTGCAAAGTCTTGTCTTGCAGTAGGCATCTTATCCTCTCTTCCTTCATGTCACTTACCATTCTGTGTCAGGAACTCACTAATTACTTTTAATCAAATAGAGTTCAAAATAGATTACTTGGGACATATGGTGTTCCTTTTGTCACGTGTGTCTGCGCTCTTTCAAGCACTTCTACCTGTACTACTTTATATTTGTTAAGGTCATTGGGTGGCTACAATTTTTCCTTTTCATTCCTTGATTAAATACACTATATCTTGGCATTGTAGAAACTATGGTATGCCTAATGTATTTTTGTGTGTTAACTTCTTTAGGACAATTCTAATTTATACATGGTAATGGAGTATGTTCCTGGTGGTGAAATGTTTTCACATCTAAGAAGAATCGGAAGGTTCAGGTAAGGGTATTAATGGCATTATTCCTTTAAAAGGCTTATGTAACTCATTTGGGAAGAGGAGTTTATAAAATCTGTTAGTAACAGAAAAAAATCCTGAAAGGGGTAAGTGCATTTAGTTTACCCCTCTTTCAGTGGACATAAACTAGTCATGCAATGAAAAATTTGTACTTATTTCTTATTTTTCAGTTAGCTAACACAGGCATTTGTGATCTGTGCATGACAGATACTTGGAATTCCTATGCATGTTGTTGCCAAAATCGATGATGGTTTCTAGAAGTAAAATTTAGTGTAACCTCTGAACTTCTAAAACGTTTGCTGTTTGCTTTGTTTTTTCTTGTTACACAGTAAAAGAACCAGTTAAAAATCCTTAATTTGTCTATCCCTGGCAGTTACATGGTTGTTTCTGTTATCTTACCCATAGCATTGGGGTACTTAATATTCTTTTAATTCTTCACAGTGAACCACATGCACGGTTTTATGCAGCTCAGATAGTGCTAACATTTGAGTACCTCCATTCATTAGACCTCATCTACAGAGATCTAAAGCCTGAAAATCTTTTAATTGATCAGCAAGGATACATCCAGGTATGACATTCTTCATATATTTAGGGAGTGGAATCTTGTCTTATGGGGTAGGGTTAGATAATTCTAGCAAATGTGTTTAGAATAAATGGTCTGAAGCTGATTATATTAGCATGTGTTCAGAGAGCATTAAAATGCCCTATGTTTAGTAATGGTTAAAGCCACTGGACTGTACTTCCTCTAAAATTGAGTACGCACAATGGAGCTGTCTGCAGTTGAGCAAGTTGTTGAGATTTCTCTTGAGGTCTGTGGTGAGAAGTAGGTGATTATATGGCTCTGTTCATCTGACCTATTTTATACATCTGCGCTAGAACAAGATGAAAGATGCCCTAAAATGTCTGGTTCTCTGCATTGTCTGTATAAGTAGTTTAAGATATTCAGCTTAGATGTCAACACCAACAAGATAGACTTAATTTCAGATTAATTCCACCCTTGGAGAGTCCTAACCTTCTCAGCACATTTGGAGTAAGAGCTGAGCTGAGCTGAGATCAGATCAGAATTGCAGCGCTGCAAATGACAACTTGGGTTTTACCACAGCCTCTCACTGCATCTCATATTCCTTTTGGCTCTTATGTTTTTAGTCTGAATGGCAAATGGGAAGGTGATATACAGGAATGAGCATTCTGCAATGCTTTTGAGTCCTTAAACTTATAGAAGCTGTTCTTTCCTCACTGTATTCGCCATAGCAGAATCTAACAGGAGAATACATAATAAAAATGTTTGAGTGGAAAAGATTCATATCTTATCCTGTTTATAACTGAAGTAATTTTGCATGGAGAATAAAATAAAACTAGATGGAGAAATCTAGGTTCTACTAGTGTGATTGAGGACCATCATTAATGTAAAGCTGTGAATGGAATTACTGCAGAATTGGCAACCCTCTGTATGCAACTGTGGGTTTGTGGTGGTGGGCAAACTGCAGATTGATAAAGGATGCAGCAGCCACTCTTCCCATGTGTGGTTGCTTCACTTCTGCTTCCCAACAGAGAGGGAGGTTTTGCATTCATATGTTGATACTGCAGCTCCAACTAAAATTTTGTTTAGAAACTCCATTAATTTTCTTTTCTAATTTTAAAGCCATCACTGTTTGCCCCATGTCTGCAGTATACTCTTCTTATGTAGACTGATGGCATTCACAAACACAGAAATGATTCTTTGCTGACTGAAGCAGGTCTCTCTAGTCAGGACATCACCCTCACTGTTCTGTTCCAGCTGTGATTGCTCGTTTCTGTTAAAAATGAAGGAAAAGTGGCCTTGATATTTTCAAGCTTGGCTTAATTGTGAGACTAGTATATCAGAAACAGCAACACAGGTTATTGTATAATTTGCAATGGTTGTCATTGTTGTACAGTACGTCTTCTCAGGCAATAGGCTGAAAATTACCAGAAGGTACTGCTATATTTCCCCACTAGTCCTCAGATAAACAACCTTGACTCGAGTGATGCTTTCAAAGCTACTCAGAATCAGAAGTTACTGGAAGACCTCTTTTATATTGTCTTATTCCCACACTAATTTTACATGTAACCTTTATACACTTATGCAATGAAATTCTAAATTTACAAGACTGGAGGATATCGTGGATGTCTTGACCGCTTTTGCGATTAATTTATTTGTTAACGAAGTGAAAAGATAAATATCTTGTTCATATTCACGTTTATTTAACTTTTGGCAGCATAAACAGTCTGATGTGGAAAGCATAAGAAAAATGATTAATGTGTAGTTGCAGCAAATGTGGAAGATTATTAAGCCATAGTTCCCACTGATCTTTTTTTAAATTATAAACAGAAGCTTGTGTCGGGGGAAACTGTGTATTTTATGGTATTTATTCATTTTGTCATGAGAAACCTTCTATCTGAATTAGAAGTATCAGGAGGACTGGCTACTAAAGGTACATCTGACTGTATATATATGTGTATATATCTGACTGTGATTTGAGAAACAAATTTTTCCTCTGTATGAAATAGCTTTCCAAACTATTTCAAAAGTATTTAATTTTATATTTCTTTGTAGAAGTGTATTTACAGTCAGTTTATTTCTTCTAATGACAGGTCACGGACTTTGGCTTTGCAAAAAGAGTAAAAGGAAGAACTTGGACGTTATGTGGGACTCCAGAATACCTGGCACCTGAAATAATTCTCAGCAAGGTACTTTGTCTTGTTATTCAGCCATGCATTTGATGCAGTTAAAACTTACCACCCAGTTATTAAACTCTGAAGGACAAAAAATTGCCAATACTTCCAAAAATCAAATCTTGTCTACTCTAGTCTTTATGAACAACATAAAATGCAGTCATTGTATTATAAATATTTTTTTAGTTTACTAGAACTTAATCCAAAGTAGGGATTTTCACATAACTGTACTGAGCTTTCAATGTGTGCTTGCTATGTAAATTGTGAAGAGAAAAAGGGATTTAAGGAATCTAGTTCTAGGTTATTTAACTGGCATCCTTATTCAGAACAGCAGATCTAAGTCATTACGTTCTGAAATGTTAGCAGACTTGAACAGAATCTCCAAAAGTAACAAGAACTGCATATGGGATGAATCAGTAGTTATTCAGTAATTAGTTAAAGAGTGTTTCAGGTTTAAGGCACTTTTACATGAAACCAGACATGAGAAACCACTAGTTTTAGACATTAAGTACATACAGTCTAAGCTTACTGTTAATCAACTAATATCTAGTACTTGCACTAAGTGTTTGAACATGGAAGAAGTATTACTTATCATATAGCTGTTCAATTGTACCCCTTCATGTTTGGCAAAAGAAAAGTACCCTTATAGTTTATGGAACTGATAATGATACAGTTATAATACATCATGTTAATATGTAGTTGGATTAAATACACTTTCCAGGTCTATAAACCAAAAATACTTTTATCTGGGGAGAAAATGGTCATTATTTGCAGTGTTTTTTCATCCTATACATCTAAAGCAGTGGAAGAAACTGCAAGATGTCTACTACAAATTTTCCATAGTAGAGCTTTCGGGAAAGACAGTCTTTGCCAAGAGCTTTGTAAAAGATCTCAGAGAACACATATAAAATTGATGGGATTGTGGGATTTTCTGAGTTTTTTTAAAATATTAAATAGGATTTACTAATTATTTTATGTTCAGGCTTTAAAGATCAGATCATAAATGTCTCTGTAACAGCCAATTAACTAAACTTTTAAGCTCTTTTAAGTAGTGTATCCAATATGAAAAGAAATGTTCTGAAGTGTGGATGATCAAGTTAAAAGATGACATTGTATAATATAGGAAGTATTGTTATATTTATGAAATTTCACTAAGATTTGAAAGAGGTTTCAGTCACTCTGTAACAATATTATTTTCATTTAAATAAATTGTGGTCACTTCTCACTTAGAGAGCCTTGTCACATCAGTGTAAAGACATCACTGAAACTCAGTACAGGAATGTGTGCACAAAGCTTCACTTTCATCACCATTTCACTGTCCTCACTGTGTTAGGTTTTAAGTATATTACTGTTGGAATCTGTGAACCTCAGTTTGGTCTGAACTAGGTTGTAAGTTCTGTGTTAAACTAGCAAGATTTCATTTGCTTTCTTTGTATTCCATGGATGTATATTGGCAATCTTAAACTGTGTTAGAAATGGTACTAACAGTTGTATTTGTCGCTTTTCCCAGGGTTACAACAAGGCAGTGGACTGGTGGGCATTAGGAGTTTTAATCTATGAAATGGCAGCTGGATATCCCCCGTTCTTTGCAGATCAGCCCATTCAAATTTATGAGAAGATTGTGTCTGGCAAGGTGAGTGAAGGCCTTGTGTATTTTTGCAGACGCAGTTGTCTGTCCTTGCAGAACCTGGGTTTTGTGTGGAGTAGCTGCAGAATTTAGTGGCTACTGGACAATGAGCCATTTGGAAAGATTATGGAGAAGTTTGTATTGTATCCTTCTTAAATACAGACATTGTTACAGTAACATTAAAAATGAAAGTTCTATAAATCTGTTCCCTGCCTTCAAATTTAAAATGCAGATTACTAAATTTACAGACATTGTAGTATTTTTTTATGCTTGAATAAAAATGATCCAACAACTATTAACATCTATTTAGCTATGTGCTTAGTTTGCCGAGCTACTTTTTCTACAAATATTTTTGGAGCTTTTGAGAAGCAATAAAGAGCTTCCATAAATAATAGCGGGTTTCTTTTCCTCTCCAGTCCTGTAGTTCAAGATGTGTCTAATGTTCTGTCTAGCTTTCTTGTTATATAATTTTTTTTTTAAGTATTTCCAACTTTTACCTTTTATTTTTCATTAATATCTCTTACTGTGCCAGACAGCACAAAACTGTGATCATTGTGTTGTTTCTCCTGCCAGCCAATCTTGTCTCTTCATGTTTATTGGTGCTCACTTGATTTTTCAGGGTTCGTCTCCTCCTTGTCCCTGCATAAGCACATGCTGTGCTGCATCTTACATACTCCTCTAGTTCTCATCAGGGGGAGTCTCTCAGTAGGCCCTGTGGAACACTGCAATGAGACTGATCCTTGTCTAGGACCTTATTTAAATCAAGAGGTGTTTGCTATTTGAAAGACTGTAGTACTGTGACCTTTCAGCTGTCTCCATGAATATATGGGAATTAATTTACAAATATATATTTTAAAGACATATTTCTCTTCTAAACTAAAAGATAAACTTGGGCATTTTTTTCAGTTGTAGCTAATATACTCAATATTGTATTGTTGATCATCTGCCTTTTTTATCAAGTCTATGGATAGATGGTTGCAGAAACAGGACTGGACTTGAACTTGGGAAAGTCTAACATACAGTCTTCAGCTAGCAATGTTTCCTTTCTGACCTTAAGTCTTTCATTTAACCTACCTTGTGTACTTAAGTCTCTACTTAAAAAATTGAGTCAATGTTTCCTTGAGTGTAGGAAATGCATCCATTAAAACTTGTGAATTTGTCATGTACTACAATAGATCTATATTGGCAGGTAAGCTGAAGCAGTGCCCTTAATTATCAGAACTTGATTTTGCAACATGTTTTTTTATGTTTAATAATTCTGTTTTCTGCATTTTCATCATAACTGATCAGCTGAACATAGGGGGTGAAAAACTGAGATTATGGGCATGACAACTACAACTTTCTGCCTGTTCTCCCCTTTCTCTCTGTCATATCAAATGGTATCAGTAGATCTTTTGCTGGGAAAACCCTATGTAGTTACATCCCGTGAATCATCTTGAAACATTTCTTAGCCAGGTTTGAAAGAATTGTCTTGGCAAGTCACTCATGTGCTATTTTTCATATACTGCTGTATTGTTTATGTAAGGCATTTGACGCTGGTGTTTAGTTATCACAAATGCAATACAGCATAAAGTTCCAGGTAGAATTTTCATATACAATTGCTGATCGTTCAGTTAGTTCAGAGCATATCTATATATTTATATGCTGTCTGTGCTACATCATACTGTTATCTTCTGTGTGTTAATATAATATGATAATTTGCTCCTAGAAAATAGTTGAAATTGCTTCGAGATGCTGTTGTATTGGTGAGACACCAAGTTAAATTTAGCTTTTTTATCACTATTATATTAAATTAGTATTTTCCTCCAACTCAATCAGATCTAGAAACTTTCCATTCAAAAAACAGTAGATGGACGTGGTAATGCTCCTGAGTAAAAGCTCTGTGAAACAGAAATACATGTGGAACAATAATCTTTTTCGTACTTTTTTGCTTACTTTATTTGGTTTTAGAAGAACAACAGAAAATTGACACAATGTTTTCTTTTGTGTGAACATTGCCTTACTTCACAGGGGGAAGAATCAAATTTGTATATTGTTTTTTAATGTTGTGGGTGTGTAATTTTAGGTAAGGTTCCCATCACACTTCAGTTCAGACCTAAAGGATCTTCTAAGAAATTTACTCCAGGTAGATTTGACCAAACGATACGGAAATCTCAAGAACGGTGTAAATGACATAAAGAATCACAAGTGGTTTGCCACTACAGATTGGATTGCCATTTATCAGAGAAAGGTAGGACTCTCTCTGTTCAAAACTATTGCAGGTCTTTAAGGGGTTGAAGTAAATTTCCTAGTTATTTGGTTGTTGGTTTGGTTGGTTGGTTTTTTTTTTTTTTGTTCTAAATCTGTCACTTAATTAACCTCAGAAAAGGTGAAGGTAGTTTAATCTTTAAAACTCCAAAGAGTATGTATTGATTACGTTGTGTTTGTCTTGTTGGTAGCTCTCCTGGACCTCTGTGTACATTCATGTTCTCTTAACGTGTGTGCTTTAGTCTATTTCTGGAATATCTCAGAATAAACCCTCTCCTATCTCTCTTGCTTTTTATTTAACCCCTGCTATAGTGTCATCTATAAGTACTCCTCCACAGCAGAGAGGAATCTTTTCCTTTCCAGCTAGTTCCTAGCAGCAGTTTTGCTTCTGTGTGGCAGAACTCTAGCCAAAGCTAGAGCTTTTCCTTTTTCTTTTCTGCTAAAGAAGTTTGCTTCCTCCTTCTTGCTCTTGCTTTATCTGTGACAGGGTCAGAATCAGATGTAGGGAGTGTCCAATTAATCCTCGGTGTCTGCTCAGGAGTTTTTGTTTCCTGATGCTATGCTTTAATTGACTGCAGTTCAGTAAGCTCTGGCAATGGGAATAGTCCTGCGGAATGCTTTTTTAATGGCATTTTTAGAACAGTTTTCTAGACCTGCCTGATGCCTTGTGATGAGGTTTTTAGAAAGTCCATGCCCAGACTGCACTATGAACTTCAGGTCTGTGAAAGAAAGGAACAGTGACAATTGGGAATATTTCCAGAGCAGGAGCAGCCATTAACATACCAGTTAGAGGGGAGCTCCTTAGTGGCTGCCAGGATGCTAGAATGAAGCAGAACTGGGAGAGGAAGCTGGGAAAGGGATGAGGATGATGACAATTCAGTCTGAGTCTGTCTGCCAGTAGCTTGCTCTCCCCTGAAGGCAGAGTCAAAGTTAAATATCTGTAGATCAGTTAGTTATTAGAAGTAGATTCCTAAGAAACTATTTGTTCCCTTAAATGCAACTGCTGGATTCTTGTTTTTATAATAGACAACAATAAAAGACTAAAATAACTTCATTGGTGTGGTCCCAGAAGATTCAGGTGGAGAAAGAATTTTGTGTTTAAATATTGGTAAAAAGGTTAGAGTTAAGTGATAATATTTCAAGGGACTGGTTTATGTCGTTGAAATGCTAACAGTCTTGACTATAGAGGCATGAACTTGCTGCTATAACAGCAGTAATTTTAAGGCCAAACCTAAATACTAACAATAGTTTATAAAAAGAAACTGGTTGTTTGGCTACACAAGCTGACAGTACAGTTGTTGTCATATTCACTAATGTATTAATTACTACAAGACAGGGTACAATTAACATGTCTTATAGTCTTTGTATTAAGTATAGCTGTTTTTAAGAAAAAAATCCTCACTGCAGAATTGTAATTATCTGTTCTTTGCTTGCTTAATGCCTGTTTACAAGGCACATGTGCATGCACCAAGTTTCATTCACCAGTAGGCTGCATGGGGACACCTAGGCCCCGTAATACTAAATTAGGTGTTTTAATACTATGCTAAATATTCTTAGCATTGGCAGCATACTGCTGTAGAGAATGACTTTCACAGAAACAAAACATTTTAAAATATGAACTAGGACAGTCAGAATAACTATTACTAGTTTTAAAGGGCTGTGAAAACTGATTTTGAGTAAATTTGAAGTTTCTCATTACAAGGTATAACTTCTATAATACTGCAGGTTTGAAACTGTTCACAGTTGCTTTTCACAGTGGCTGTTACTAGTGTGTATTTTCCTGATTACATGTCATGTTCCTTGGCAGCTAATGTGATGAGAATAATTTATTATGCTACAGTCATAAGTGAACCAGTCGATTATATTTCAGAAAAGATCAAGTCTTGTTTTCTTTGTGTGCTTGTGTAGCTGTTTATTAAAATATTGCCAGATAATACGGTTGTACCTAGGGTCAAACACGTATTTCTACTATAAACCAGTGGTTACCTCTTGCAATCCCTTTTCAGTGATTTCCTTAGTGAAGATAATAGGAAAAAGTCTGACAAGTCTCATTTGCATGTGTTATAAAATTCCAGCAGTAAATAAGGTATTTCTTGTGGCCTTTGTTTTCATTTTTCAAATGAAAAAGAGGAGTGTGGTACTGGTAATTGAGCCTCACACTCCAGTTTGTCCTAGTCCTGCTCCAGTAGAGCATCTCTCCTTGGTTTTCCATTCTCTCTGGTTTCCCTCTTACCAACCATTCTTCACCACTGCCATCACATCCAAATCCTCCCTATTCCTTCTCCCAGCGTGCAGCTGATTCTAAAATTTCCATTATTTTAAAAAGGCATTAAGCTTGATTTTGAGCGTTGAGATGTGATAGACTAACTGTCGTATTAAGACTTGAATTGATATTAATCGAGTGAAAGTAGAATTTAGTGGTCTGATCCCTAAAACAGCATTTCAGTCTCTGCAAGCTGGAAACAACAACTTTTTTTTTTTTTTTTTTCTCTTCCCTGACTGTGTAGGGACAGCACAAGCTGTTAGCCGGTAAAAATGCAGCTATGTCCCTGTGCAGACCCATATCTTCATTTAGTGTCATCTTCAGTTTAACTTCCCAAGATGAGTAGGGACAGAAAGACTGAGACTGTTAAGTTGTAGACAGAGCCAAGGATTTTATTGTAAAGGTCAGCTTCAAAAAGCTGTCGGTTCCCTTAGCTTTCAGAAGCAGCAGTTAAGAGGGTCCTGGAAGACAACTGGTTCCAGTACCCATGTTGAATGGCTTACTACCATACAGTGGACATGAGACACACTGAATCTCAAGACTAATTAAGTATCATGTGGACCTGCGAGGATGTGCAGGCAGTCTTTACCACAAGGGTTTTTCCATCACATTAGAGCTCCACTGGCTTTCTGTACGGTCCTCCAGTGACACCCAGAGACCCAGGTCATTGCTTGTCTCTCAATTGTGGCCTAGTTTCAAGAAGGCTTTCCCTTCTCACAGTTTGGCCCTAGCAGGAACTTTGTAGGAGATGCAGAACAAATTGTTTTAAAATTATGTTAGGTTTGCTTTTATTTGGAAATACAGGATTGTTGGTAAGTAGGAAGAGAGGGGTTCCAAAGTGCCCTAAGATTTTTGAGTAGTGTTGATGGCAGTGTTTCTGCTTCACCTCCACCGTGACTGTGGGACAGTTACGTGCAGCCCTGGCTGTGCTAAGAGCCATACTGTGAAGCTGAGGAGAGCAGGGTCTCTTCTGCAAGAAGAGAATTAAACGTTGTTTTGAAGTAGAAGTAATTTGTTATTTGTTTTTCAGTAAGATGTTAGTCTTTTTCAACTCACATGCATACATCTGGGCCTGCACATTCTTAGGCTGTTTTTAATTTTTGTGCCACAACTTTAAGCTGTGATAACTGATTCCTTGGCAGGATTTGAGGAGTAACGGGAATACTATGCTTGTTACCCCAATGTTAAATCTAAGGGTATTAGGCTAATAACATCTGTCTTTTTTCCCCAAATAAAGGTAGAAGCTCCGTTCATACCAAAGTGCAGAGGCCCTGGAGATACAAGCAACTTTGATGACTATGAAGAAGAAGATATTCGTGCGTCTCTAACAGAAAAATGTGCAAAAGAATTTGCTGATTTTTAGTAGGAGTAAGAGGACAAGATGACATCAGGGCTCACATTGGGATCTTTGCACTCTGTTAACAGATGAGGTGGAGCTGAGACCATCATATGTCAAAACAGTTACCTAGTTACTTCATTCCACAAAGCTGACTGAGGTCTTTATTGCCATCTTCCATGTGTGCGGTTTGCACCAACCCTTCTAACTAGGCACAATTAAGCAAGCACTGTTTGTGCAGTAACACAGAATAATAGACCACTTTCCTACTTAACTTTGGTTTCTGTCGTTCTTTGTTTCTGTGTATTGTTCATTTTCCCCCTTTAAAATGAAGTAGTTTTTTACCCACGAATGCTCCATTTTATTTTGAATAATGTATTATTTGTGTGAGTGAAATGGAAGGTGTTGCGGCTAGTGTGATTTAGACTGAAGTGAAAGATAAATGTTGCTTCTAGTCTGTGCCAGCCAATAATTCTTGTCTGTCTTGTGTCTGATGCTACAATTTATAATAATTTTTTAGTAGCTCAGACTAAACCTAGCCAACATTTTTAGCATTTTTGAAGGTAGTATTTATCGCCATATAAATGTCTGCTAAATTAACTTAAAAACATTTCTTCCTGGAGACTGACCAAAATTCAGTAGAATCAATTGGATGGCTTAAGTAGGGGACAGTAGCTAGACCCTGTGCCTTGGTTTTCTACATCCCTGCAGTTTTCATCACTGCCTCCTTCAGCTGTATTTCCCACCTAGGCAGTAGGTAAATTGCCATAACCAGACTGTACCATGGAAAGCTTACAGTCTCATGAGAGGGAGTAATTCCATCTGGTCTGGATTTTGGACCATATTTAACCAAGTTGATTTACCAGCATTTCAGTTGGCAGGTATGAAATGGCTTTTTTTAAGAACATGAACCCTAAATTCTTAAAGGAAGTTTTGGTCAGTATTGTAGAGAATATGATTAATTTTGATTCACTTTTTTGTAAAAAAAAAAAAAAAAAAAAAACCTAATGTTTGGGCTCCCAAAGTATTCCTTGTTTTGAGCCTTTTTTGATTAAAAAAAAAAAAGGCATCTGTTAAAATAAAAACCCATCATGCCACAAAAAGCAAAATGCGCTCTGCCATTAGCTATGAAAAACAAATGGTTTAGCAAATGCAAATTAATGTTCTAGATGCATCGCTGGATGAACACGGTTATTTTTTGTTTGCTGTTAAGAATAAGAGGTTATTGCCAAGTTTTTATTCTGGTGTACTATATTAGTAAACTGAGGATGGAGTACTGCTACAATCATTTTCTTTTTAATTACAGCACTTCATTCACAAAGAAAACAGACAAAGTTTAAAAACTGCAACAGCTGGGTTTATTTTAGTTGCATTGTGTCTTCATTTCTGACTTTCTTTCAATCAAACAGAATGTATGGTCACACAGATATAACTATTTGGGCTTAATTATGTTTTGTATACTCTCACCAACTGACTTAAAAGATACTGCTACCATGTGCTAGCTTTGGGCACTTTTACACATTCATTTCAATCTTAATAATCAGTGGCTCAGCACTTTTTTGGGGGTTGCTTTTAAACTTATTCATAGTAGTTTTATTTGTACACTTGAGTCTGGCTGTCTCAGTGACCTATCTGAAAACAGCACATCTAAACAGTTTAAACTAGGCTCATATTTTATGATGAATTTACATGCATACAAGGATTAATTTTTTAAAAAAAAAAACGAGCTATATTGATACATAGCCATTGTACGTTTGGATGCCAGTGCAGGTGAACTACTGGCATTCCTACCTTTTAAATCTGTATGACACTCCTTTAAGAAAAGCCTTTGTAGACATTTTACAAAAGGGTATGAAACGTACCATCCAACATTCTGTATGTTTAGGTTGTTGAGCATTTTTGCACAACGTCATTAGGAGGCTGACACTGAATGCAGTCCTTGTCCACCCATACTTACATATGTGCAAGAAAAGTATAAGATACTTTGCTGTAGCAAATTTTATGTAACAAAGATATATCGTCACATTAATAAATTTAAAGAAATCCTTTGTATGAAAACGTTAAAATCTTTTGTATTTCATTTAGACCAAGGACATGCTGCTGTATGCTAGCTGTATGCGATAAATTCTACAGTAACTTTGTTGTCGTTTATGAACTTTAAAAGATTTTAATAAATGTTGGAGATCACAATTTGATTCTGTTATGATTTTAATTTTTAATCATTACGTTTATAATTCTAGTAAGGCTCAGAGATTTTTCTGTTTTGTAAAATACTGTAATCATTCATCTTGCGTGTACAATAAGACAAGTGTCTAGGAAATTGGTTCTGACATGTCTGTCTGATATCCAGATTAAATTCTTCGTGGGCATAAGTGGAAAAGTCATCTTAATGCCATGATATTATGCTATTTATTAATTTTATGAAAATCCTATTAGAAAGTAAAATACTTTTCTGATATGGCATAATAGACTTCAGTATGGAAATGAGATTCTATTTTGGAAAAGGAGGGGAAGTGTGCAATTTCCAAGGCATTAGTGAGTACATTTGACAATGTGAGTATTATACAACCCTCTTGTTTAAACACAGTCATAAAATATAACTACGGAATATTATGTTACCTGTATTTAATTTGAAAAATCCTTTTCACAATATGGAAAAATTGTATATCTATGACAGTAGAAGCTTGTTAATTTTACACATTGAGGAATTAAGTGTTGAACTATATGGTATATTTTAATTGTACTCTAGTTGTATGTAACTTTCATTTCCAACATAAAGAATTGTATCTCATTAAGTAAATTGCTTTTTTTATTATCTTGTCAGTTGCATTAAAACCCTTATTTTTAAATCCTTTAAAGTATTTTACTAATTTTTGCAAATAATTAGATGTTTTTAAGTGCTGCAATAGTGTGCAATATAGTAAACATTTATATACAGAAGTGCGAATTAAATTATGTACAACACTTGTGCTGCTTCTTTGTGAATCAGAATGTTGTATGATGAGAGTCATTGCATCTCCCCACACAGCAAACAGGGTTTGAAAGCAAGAGGAAAAGGTTATGAAACACACTGCACATACTAGTTTGGGAATCATTAAGCTTTACATGATCTAGGGTGTTTGGAGAAGATGGTGTGGAGAACATTAAAGGCACTATGAGAAGTCAGTGAGTTGGACTTCTCAGACACTCGAAGGCAAGCAAGGTGATCATTAGCTACAATATTGTTTGTCTTCACATTTTCACATTCGGACTTGATGCTTTTTATTAAAGATAATTGCCTGTTTTTAAACTGTCTGCAGATCCTGCTGTACAAACTTTGTGCTCTGTCTCATTGTGCTGTGAAACAACTGATAGAAGTAAAGACTTCATGGTCTTGGCATTGTCTGTCTTGAGGCTTTTTCTGCAAGTGTTGTTCAGAAGGGCTCTGGTACCTGCTCTCTGTAGCACAGCTCCTCTTCCTGCTTTCTGAGCAGAGCTTTGGCCTCTTTGCTTCTGCTGCTGTATGCCTACTGACTGTGGTTACTTGTGGTGTTTCTGGTTTCGTAAAAAAGCTGAGCCAAGAAATTGCAAAAAGATTGTATTCTGCTTTTCCTACAGCTCCCGTGCAAACACGGCGTGTCAAGCAGCAGATTTGAAGGTGTCATTCAAATCTGTTTTTCTCATTTGCCACATGTAAGGAGGACTTAACCTAGATAAGAATTTGAGTACAATTCCACAAAGAAACTGGTAAAAATACAATTCCATTCTCCAGCTGGAGTGTGTGTAGCTGATCTGGATGTATTTGACAAAAAGAAAAGTTGTATGATCACCATAGCTTTACAAGTGTACGTCTTGCACATGTTTTTTAAATGTTTTTATTTGGGAGTTTGAGGAATCGACTGATCTGAGGCTTCTGACAGAAGAGGTAAAATATGAATATCTAATGTAAGGCTAGGCAGTGATCACTTTCATTGAAATGCTCAGCGCTCCATGAGCATGTTTAAATGGTTTACAGATAGTAAATATTTGTCATCTTACACAGGAGTTGTGTAAAGTATTGGGGGTTTTTAGAAGGATAAGACTGGTGTCTCAGGGCAAGATAGGATCTCAAGATAGTTTCCCTTCCTTACTTTCAAACATGATGAATAAAAGTTGAATTAAATCTGAGGTTGTCACATTTTGGCCATTTGTTTTATTGTGGGTTTTTTTGTATTCTACAGAAAAGGGGCCTGCTGGAAGGCAGCTTGCATATATAGAAAATGTAGTTTGTTCTTATAAATTACTTCTACAAAAAGTTTGGACCTCAATGGGGTAACAGCAGCTTAAGGTTTCCATTAAATCATTGGGATGAGTTCCCAACAGTCTATTTCAAAGCTACTAGAATTTCCTTTAGAGTCCTTACTGTCTGTTTGTCCTGTTCCTTCCCTCAGAGGGTCAAATACAAGTGCCTTTGCAAAAATGTGTATCTAAAAATTGCTCTTAGATGGCTTTTTACTTTTAAATTTAAAAGGCAACATGCTTGTGTTTGCTTAAGTTCATGGTCAGTGAAGCATGTAAGAAAAACACAGTGACAAACTTGCAAGTTCCTTATTGGTGCTCAGTATACAAGATTTAGGTTTTGTTAGATTACACAGCAGCAATCTAGTATCCAGCTGCAGATTCTGCTTTTTGTCTTGAGAAGCAGCCTGTCTGAGGATGCGGCATCTTTGCCAAGGACAAGACAGAGAAAACCCTTTGCCTAACATGTGGATATGGTTGCAGCACAAAAGCTCTTCAGGCTGAAAAGGTGGTTTCTAGTTGGAAAGAGTTTGAGAGCAGAGGACACTGTTCCCATACGTATGCATCTACAACAACAGATGTTTTTCTTTCCTGGGATGTAGAGATTAGAGACTTCCATTTTGCTTTGCTTTCAGGATAATGTGGAAGATGGGGAAGGACACAGCTGGAGGTACATTGACTCAAATAGAGCAAGGTCTCAGCAGTAGTGCAGTATGTTCTGAGTAAGTGCAGATAGTTACAGGAAAAAATACTGGTGATTAGGGTAATAAATAGAAAACTGGAGTGCTGGAAAGGCTTGATTAACTTAGTCTTCCATGATCAAGATAATCTAATTTTTTTAAAGCAAACGCCTCATTTACATTTAGTGGCACATCAGTGCTTTGGTCTACAGAGCAATATCACAAGAACTGTCTTCAGCTGGAAGTATTGTCCTTTGCTGTATATCTGTATTGCTATTTGAATGTATTTGTAGTTATCTAAGTAACGGTTCAACAAAATGAATGCTTGATTGGGATGCCTTTTCAACTTCTTATGTCTTTACCAGCATCTTTATACTTGAAGTTTGCATAAAGTGGCATTGGGACTCCGTTAATCATAGCTAACACCTTGGATGAGCAGCAGCATCTTGCAGGCGTGATAATTGAGACTGAGCAATTGGTATTTGGTTATTTCATAAATGCCTGGAGTTTATAAAACAATCTTGTTTTCAGCTGCCTCACAAAAAAAAAACCAAAAACAAAAATCCACAACTATAATGTGTGTCCCCACTAACTACATTATCTCTATTTCCCTTTATTCTCTTACCGTACATATCAGGAAGTATGCATCTGGCAAGCTTGCTTACCAGTGGGGAAAAAACAAGGAGCTGACCAAGTAGCTTGAGTAAAAACATCATGTTGTACTGGAGAGAAGACCATGGGGACAGACTGACTCTAAGGGCTACGTGATTGAATGTGTATAATGCAGTGCTGTAGTTTGTTAATGTTCATATGTTAGCTCGTGCCAGGAGCGTGGTGGTTCTGTAGGAATATGTGCTCTGTGTGGTTCAGGGCACAGCACAGGGGCTTGGCTCCAGGAGGACATCCACAACAGAGAGCCACCTTCCATGGCCAAAGCACCCACCCATAGCTCACTCATTGTGGAAGAGAATTTTGTAACAGGACTGGGTTGGCTACCAGGTACGTTTCCTGCTAAGAGAAGTATTGCACTAAATACTGGGGGGA